ATTTCTTTATATATATATATATAGGATTTATGATCGAATGATGTAATATTAAAAGTTAAAAAAATCGATTAGGAAGAAGATAGAAGTAAGATCAAAATCAATCGAAAAAAAAAAAAAAAAAAAAAAAAAATGACAAAGTTAACTTTACTTCCTTTTCTTACCAATCCATCGGAATATTTTCTCAATCGGTTTTTCACATAACTCATATCTATCCAACATCCTACACCCTGTATAGATACAGACCCACGCAGCAACCCACACACACACACACACGGACAAATACACATGCATAAATAGTTACTAAAGTATACGTGTTGCTAAACTCGAAGAAAGAATGTCTTACGAGAAGGGTTGCAACGTTGTTATATTCTCCTAGGCTTTGCTATGCGAACGATTTTCTTTAGCCACGGTAAAGTGAGCCGGAAACTTCACCAACCGATACATACGTAAACTCCTTTTTTATATATACACGTACACGTACACGTATGTACATATATGTAACAATTGAAACCGTTCGGAAAAATACATTTTCTTCCATCTTCCATATTGCCAGTGCCACCACCATCCTGACCCCCTCCTTCCCCCCCAACCACCCTCCCCACACCTTCACCCCTTCTACCGCACTCGCGATACTTTTGTACCAATAGAGGAAATGTATCATTGGAAATGGAATATCGACTAACTCTTGAAACACGTTGCCGAGTTCCGAGAGCATAGGATAACAGCATCCTTTTTCGAGTTATCCACCTCTTCAGCCCCCTACCCCCTTCCCCTTCTTTGTTCCCTATCTCTCGATATCTTTGGATCAGTGTTACGATTAATCTCTCTCTCTCTCTTTCTCTCTCGTTTCAAACCAGATCCAGCCAATTTCTTTCTTAATTTGTTGTTTTACTTGACATAACATCTGGACAAATATTTGTCCACTGATTGATTCCCTTTTTTCGTATTTTTTTTTTTTTCTCCTTCGTACGATTTCGTTCGAGTCATTTTTGGTTGCACGCGAGCGTTTAAACTCGGTTAAAACAAAACAAATAATAAAGGGATCGTTCGGAAAAATTTGCATCGATTGATTAAATCATTTTGAACTTTAATCGTTCTATTCTTTTCGTTTTTTTTTTTTTTCAGCCGATTCGTGAATTTTGCCATTCGTACGTAAAAGAAAAAGGAGAAAAAATGTTTTTTCCGTATAAACGACAATTAATTTTTTAATTTTACTCTCTTTTACGTATATATTTATTTATTTTTTCGCAGTCGGGCGCGTTCGAATGAAACGATACTGTCCTGAAAAATATGAAAAGTATAGAAAGAAGAATAAGAAAAAGAAAGGGGGGGGCGGGGGGTGGGGATAGAAAGTCTGTCATAAAGTTGCTACCAACGTAAACAACGTTATCTCTTTTCGACAATGATCAACGATCGAGAAAGAAAGTTCTTTTAACGAGCATGCTTCGTTCGCAATAAAGTAGAAATAACGACGTTAGTTTGTCGAATAGGCCTGGCCAGTGTTACGCGCAGAACCGATCGGCGAACTCAATTTCCAATAATTGCTTTCTCCTGCTCGTCTAAAATGATAATTAAATTCCTGTTTGCTGCTATTACCCGCTTGCAAACCATCGTTCCTTTCCTCCTAATGGCTTCTACTTCGCGAGTCACGACTTACTACAAGGGATGAGAAGATATATCTCTACTTTTTTTGTATTAGTCGTTTAAGTAACGTGTTTATTTGAAAGTTAAGTAGAAGAATAAGAAGAAGAGAGAAATATATATAAAATGTATCAAATTACCATCGCGCACGCGTAAACTAAACAATTTACACTCGATGGCCAAGACGAAAAATTCTTGCTACAGTTTGAAAAAATATCAGAAATATTATATAATACAGAACACTCAACAATCGATGGGCCAAACAAAAAGAATCGCTATCGCTTAAAGAAATATTATYCATTTGTTTTCTCTCTCGCACTYGCRWTCACGACCGAGAGACCCCAAGATAACGCACACTAGCTCGCTCGCGTGTAAAGACCAACGAAGAGGCGTGGATTGCCCCCTCTTTTACAATTACCTTTCA